TCCGTACAACTGTCCACGCAAAATCCCCCCCCCCCCCCCCCCCAACTTTTATTTCGATCCACCCCACGCGAAGAAAGATAAAGCGACGCACTTTCGCATTTGTCACACCCGTATCCCAAAACAGAGAAGAACGGGCGGCTATCCGAAACGTCCAGTGGCGAACAGTCTGTCTATGCTGGAAAAAGCGATGAAGAAACTTCATCGTGACGTCGCCGGTGGGAGGAGCCTAATCTCAATCGGCGGCGAACTCAACTGGCAGGGAACTTCATCGCGGCGCGTTGATGACGTCGACGGAAAGTGGCGATTGAGTTGAAACTTCATCGGAATTTGTCCCCAAAATATGTCCCTAGAGGGAAATGCGCAACGCCGCATCGAAGGGTCTTGTAAAAGCAACATTTTTAACTTATGAAAATGTATAATGCGGTACAATCTAAATATAATTACCGGTGTTAAGTCTAGGTCGCATGAATCATGTCTTTTTACGTAAGTGAAACAATTTAGATGATCGCAATGCGTGAGCTGCATCGCGATCGTGATGAATCGTCATGGCCGACGGTGGATGTCGCACGAAAAGTGCTCGTGTGTCTGTACGAAGATTTGCCTCACTTTTGGAATTTTTGCTGTCAAGTCGGGCTTTTTCACGTCGCGATTACCACTCGGCGGTCCGGTGGGGGACGTGAACCAAGTGTCCTCGCTGAACTCGAGGAGTAGGACAGAATCTTGGCCCATATGAGAAAGGTTCCTCGCTAAGACAAGGAAGAAGGCGCATGATTTCGAGGGCGGACGCGCCTCGTCCGTCGCCACTCGGAATCTCGGCTGCAGTGTTGGTAAGTAAGTGCATGGCATCTCAATGGGCGGTTTTAGCGTACCGTTGCCGTGCGCAGCGAAATTGCTACTGGGAGCTCGCGCTGTATATTTGAAGCATGCTTTTCAGCGCGCTTAAAGCCTTACCAGCCGTACCGTGGCCACCGCAGAACACGGTAACGGTCTCCTAAAACTTGCTACTTGTAGTAAACAGACACTGTGTTGTTTTTGGTCTTAATGACTTTGCACGAGTGTGCTGCCTCGTGATGTTTCTTTGAAAGCTCGGATCGTAGCGCTCAAGCTGACGAGTTAATTTCTCTAGAGCTGTGCATGAGGCACTCCGATACCTGAATTCTAAAGTGTAGGCAATTGGGCATTACATCAACGCGGAACCAGAAAGGCTGCCAATTAGTTGTGCGTTAACTTGTGTTTGATTGGATGATGCAGGACTCATCTGCTGTGGCCAAAGGTGCTAGTGAGGACCCAGCACAGATGGTAGCTCCACCACCACCAAATGGTAGGTATAAAAAACAGTCTGGATTCATCTCCATAATACGTGGTTTGCGCCTGTGTCAGGACATGTATTATGCATGAGTGCCGTCGGTAGCCTCATGCTGGTGGCCATTGATGTTGTGGGGTTGCAGCTTTGCTACACTGTGATCATGGTGAACTGCGCTGGCTCCAGTGGCCCAAAGTGACAGCTTTTGTACCCATCTCAGCAATTGCTCAAAAATGTGACCTGCACTGTGCATAACTATGTAGAAGATGCTGTCATTAACATATTGTGCCTGGTCGGTAGCTCGCAAGGTGACTGTAGGTCCAACCGTGATGTTTCTAGCAAGGTGACACCTCAGCAAGACTTACAAAAACTTAAGTGTAAACATGGTACAGAGACAATCCACACATGGTTACTTGAGTTTTGTATGGGACAAGACACAGATCCAATTAATGAGACTGTGTCAGGAAAAAGACGGTGCCTGCGGTCCTGTTTCCCAACAGCAACCTGCTTCCACCGAACATTCCCGGCAGCACCACATCTACCCACTGCCCTGAAACTGACAAGGGAATGACACTAAGACAAAACTGGCTCACCAATTCCAAAACCGGTGTCTGCTATTTATATAAAAGGTCCACTTCTAAAAATATTTGCTGCAAAGGGCTGTGGAAGCAGGACGCACCTGGCTGGGCATTGCCTGTCGAACTCAGCAAAATCATCGGCGTGCAGTTTTGTATACTTCTCTTCATTTTTTGCACTCGGGTATTCACGTCCTCCACCTTTGGCTAGATATCACAATCTGTCACAGTTGACAGTAAGTAGCAGATGGTTCTCGCCACCACACAGAGCAATATTTTCTGCGTACTGAACTGGACAAACACGGACAAACTTTGTCATCATCACTTGACGGTTTAAACTTCTGCCTAGGCTTAGCCCAAGTGCCTGCACTAGCACATATTTCCCCGCACATGTCCGAGCAAGCGCATTTGTGGCCGAATGGTTCTCATACTTGTTTCCCACACAAAGGGCCAAGGTTCGATTTCTGGCCGCGCATGCACCTTTTTGTTAATGTCCCGCACATCCACCAAAATTTCGCGAATGACAGATGGTCAGGTGAAGAATGAACAGAAACTAAACGTTTAATTTGGCAAACTTGTGCCAAAAACAAAAATACAAAGAGGTAGCATCGCAGGCATCGAAGGTCGGCGCAGTAGCACGATTGAGCGCAAGAGCGAGACTCTCTCTGTATCGCCACGCAGAGCCCCTCATGTATATGCGTGGACTTCTGGAACAATCGGCATAGAAAGTTCGGTGCATAGAACATTCTGAGTTTGAACAAGCAATGGGATTCTTGAATTAAACCAGAATGCAACATTTACAGAAATGAAAAAAAGGTGCATGTGTGGCCAGGCATCATACCTCAGCCCTTTGTGTGCAAGCTAAGCACAATAACCATTCGGCCACGGGCAAGCTTGCTCGGAGACGCGCATGGCAATATGAGCAGCCTCTGCCATTAACCACATCTGACATGTACCAAGTGGTGGTCACCAACACGGTGCCCTTGGAAGTACTCAAAGGTCTTGTCTTTTATACTGACATGACATTACCTGCAAACCATGTATGCATGCTGCTGAAACTGTGTCGTGTCAGCTGTGCACCAGCCATCAGGTAGAGCTGCAGTGGAAAAAGATAAGCACAAGCGACCAACGACCGGAGCAGCAAAATCGCGACACGGTGGTGGCCGGCACAAAGCAGCCCATCCTAAAGCTTGCATTCCAAAAGCTATCTTATCCCTCAATTTTCTGGCAGCCACCAACGTTGAGACATGGAACATGACTGGCACTTGCTATCGGCGCGCTCGGGAACAATAGCGCTGCCTGTCGCAATTTTGCTACTCCGGTCATTGGTCACTTGTGCTAATCTTTTTCAGCTGCAGCTGTACACTGCCACCCTGGATGGTGAGGGGCCTGAACTGCCCCCAGCTGCACTGTTTAGGACCTCTCGCCCACTCAGCGGGAGCAGCTGGTTGCACTGCACATGCTGCTGGGCACCCAACATTACAGCACGAGTGTCCTAGATGTAGAGAAGTGCAGTCAAGGTCTAAAATTGGCTGGCAAGCATTGTTTGGAGAACCGTCGAAAGAAAACCTGCGTCATATGGCACTAATGAATTATTCCAGGCCAAGTTTCTTCGTCCTTGCTTTATTGAGTTACACCCAGAGCAGCTTGGGCTCACAGTCTTTGTTGTTTGCTCAATGCAATGCGGAAGAGCTGGACTTCCACAGCGCCAAAAACATTGACGGGAACAACAGTTAACTTGTCACTGGGAATCAGTTATGACAGACAGTTATAGCATAAAGGAAAGTGAATGCAGGACTCTTCCTTTTTCGCTCCTTTTCATTTTCGGACCTTGTGTTGTGTTTCGAAGTGAGTGATTTCCAACTTTTCACTTTCCATTTTTCATGTGATGGACAGAGCAGGCCTGTCTGCTGCAAAGTAATTGGATCATGCTAGGTGCACATTGCTCAAGGCTGCTTGCTTCACAGGTTGCGTGTTGTACTGGAAGACCCACAGCATGAGCTTGCTGGTCTGAGCAGTTCCTTGGTTGAAAGGTGCCCGCATAAACAAAATGTCTTTCAGGAGTCTCGCATTCTTGATAATTCCAGCACTGCATAAGAGTTCTAAAAAGATAAAAGCAGTGGTATGCCATACACTACTGCTCACCACACCCCTGGGATTCTCTTGTTCTATGCAATTTCTGTAACATAGTCTTTAAAAATGCTTGTTTTTATAAACATTCACCCTTTTCGTGTACTTTGTTTGCAGGCTGTGGAGGGACAAGCAGCTCCACATACCCAGCAGTCATCTTCACTGGCCACACTCGTGCTGCCCCTCATGGGGGTGCAGAATTTCCATGCACAATAAAACATGCTCCCTAGGCACCATTTTGCGTCCGTCATGATTTCAGTATAGCATGGAAAAAAGGTTTGCAGCACTAGCTTGGTCACTCGACAAAATTGTCATACATCGAATACAAATTTTGGGTCAGGAAATCTCGGTGCAATTGTTTATGTGCCGGGACTCGTATCTCGACTTCAGATGTCGATGTATATTTCATATACAGGGCACCAGAAATTTCACAATTAACGGTGACACGGCGGTGCAGGTTCAATCGTCCAGATACCAGCAACCACAGTTAATTCTTCACCTTTTCTTCCTCTATGCTTGGAACAATATACTGTTAGAGCCAGAATGCTTATGCAGTCAATGGGAAACAAGATGCCACCCATGAGGAGGCCCTCTTTTATTCTCTATTCTAATGCCTCGACGTTTCGCTTATGCGGTTTGCATTTTTGCAAGGTTACCCTGCCAAAAACATTGTGTTAAAAAGCTTTTTCAGAAACATCAACTTATTACAAACTTCCATTTTTAGGTGCCATACCAAAACTCTGCTTGAACTGTCTTTTAGGTAGACCACTCTGCAGCCAAAGGGACTTACTGTGTCTACTTGATTTGGCAAGTTACAAAGTATGACAAAACATTGCAAGCGGATACACACAAGTATATTTCGCAGATGTGACGAGAGACAAAGCTCGTAGTAGCCTCAACAGCTGCCAGGCTTCAAGTTTGAGCAGGGAGACCCTGGTAGGCAGCACATACTTGCAGAGGTGGCCACCTCTCAGATTTTCAGCACTGCACAGCGCGTCCTCTGCTGTCAAAGCTTACACTGTCCTCGGGGTCGGACTCTTGGGGCTCAAGGGAGAGGCCCCAAAATAGAGCTATACAAGCCCGCATTGTGCAGAAAGTCAAATGATGTTACTGTGCCTAGCACCTTTACAACCACCGGAACCTGCTTTTCAGCATCCTATTCACTGCTCTACGACAGAATCCTAAGCAATGCTTTTTGTTAAGCTTGGAGTCAAAACAGCAGAGCATCCATTGGGGTTGCGAGGAATTGGTGTGCAAGCATGGCTTCAGGGTTTTGTCGCTGTCACCTGCACACAACAATGAGGCGGTATCTGACATGAATGTTTCATAACCTTTTCAGTTGTCCAAAAGCACATCAAGACTAGATAGAAATTCTATATGCTAATGCAGCCTCTACTTGGAGATAGTAGTTGCATAGCTTTGTATATAAAGGCTGAAAATGTAATAATAAAAAAGTTCAAAAAAAAATGGAGATATTCCACTTGAAGATAAAGTAAGTAGGCAGGCGAGCTGGTTGATGTTACACATTTTTGAAAACCGGAGACGACGGACGAAGAAGGGGACAACAGAAGGAGACGTTTTGTGTGTTGTCCCCTTCTTCGACCGTCGTCTCCGGTTTTCAAAAATATATTCCACTTGTCTTGCACAATACCCAAAATTATGCCTTCAGAGCAAAGAGGTGTCAATTGAGTTAATAATCTCTTTATTTTCCTTTATATACAAAGGTGGGAGATGGGACATATAATGTCAAACGTCAAGCTGCATGGCTTGCAGCTTGACGAGGCGCCCTACCCGGTGTGGCAGAAAAGCAGCAGAAACGTTTCAGACAACACAATCAAAAGAACAAGATACTGTACCAGTTTGAACCTGCAATCGTAAAATGAAAACGTACACAACGTGCTGCAGCAGAACAATTTCCGGATGTTGAGGCCCGAGACATTTGGATGATACACATGCAATCACGAGTAAGCTTGAATCCGTGCGACTATCTCACACGACACTCATCACGGTGAACGAGGCACCCGTTTTCTACCGAGAGCTCTCGTGCAAGCCCATTGAGAAAATGTGTATCGAGCACTTACCAACACCACTGAATTCGTATCGCTGAACTTCTTGGTCGTCGTCTTTCCGTCTTCACTTGGCGCGCGAAGCCCACCCACCTTCAGCCCCGGGTTATCGATTATCGCCTCTGTAGCATCCAAAGAATGCGACTCGCAGCACACCGACACACGGTGACGTCTTCGTCGCAGCAAATTGTGCCGCCAGCAACGCTCAAAAAGAGCACTTGCTGCTCGGCGGTCACCATATGGGGCCCCTCGCGACGCCGGCAAAGCTTCCACGGCAAATGTCAGCACCAGCGAGTGTCGGGCAGTATTCCCCGATTACGTTCCTGGCGAACCTTGAACGGCGAACACATAAAAACGTAGCGATAGTCCGCTTTGGTCCGCCCCGTCCGCGAGCTTGAACGTCGCCATCTTCATTGACTTTGGCAACTTTTGCTGCCCGACTACTACAAAGTTATCTCCATCGCCAAACTCAATCGTGACGACATTTTGACGTCACCGCGAACTTCATTATTTCACCAGCATAGCTCGAACTCCATCGGAATCCGTAGGGAAAAACTCAATCGCAACGTCACATCACGTGACCAAAAGGGCAGCCAATCAGCGACCAATTGAGTTAACTTCATCGTTGAGTTTGCGATCTAGCATAGACAGACTGATTTTGTGTATGTCTTTGCGAACGCGTGGAGAAGGAAGAAAGGGGAAGAAGGCGGGGGGGGGGGGGGGGGGGGGGCACGTGACTAGGTCACAGCGGGTCGCCCATGCGCGCCGTCACAACAGAAGCATCAACTTCTCGTCAGACTCCCTTCAAAGCGCACCCCCCTCCCCTCTCAACTAGTGCCGAGTCGGTCGTCTTTTGTGCGCCGGCGGGTGGTAATTGTTGTCGCGGCCTAGGAGAGGGGTGGCGATCGTTCCGGGTCGCTGTGCAGAACGCGTCTCGTGGGAACTCGACTGGAAGTCGAGGAGAAGCGAGGGAGAGCAACTGCCTGTTCGCCCGTTCCCCCCCGCGGAGTCTGCAATTCTGCCACGTGGCCCCGAGAGCGAAGTACGCCGAAGCGAATCACTCGCCGCTCACGACGTCTTGACTGCAGTCGCGCAGCTCGCCCCGCCCGGTGGCGCGAAAGCACGCGCTGCCGCCGCGGCACGCGACTGCGCGACGCTTGGAACGATCCTGCGGTCCTCCCGTTTCTGCCTGCACGCTGATCGCGGGCGCCGTCTCTCCGGAGGAACCTGTCATGCTGGGGTAGCTCGCGTTGAATCGCGCGTAAATCAAAAGCGTCATGAAACATCGAAAGCCGGTCGGGCATGGCCGTCGTACACTATATCCACAAATAAGAACAGCGCAAGGCCGCCTTGTATAAGACGTAAAAAAAAAAAAAATACAAGTGTGAATGGTGAAAAATAAATGCATTTAGTAATCAAATATTTAAGCTGAAGCCTTCGAAGACGTGGTATACAAAGCGACCTTAGCATCCAGTGCAACAGCCGGATCTGAGCGGCATTTTTATGGAAGCTAGATAGATTCGTAGTAGCCGAAAGTGACGCCTCAAACGAAAGTTAATAAAGTAACGTCAGAAACCACCGTGCTCACATCCAATTTAGTCTGTAGTGTTTCTTGAACATAATAAGCGAGGGTTGAACTCTAGTGATTTTATACATTTAATTTAGATGTGACAACCATTTTACCACAAAGCATTACTTAACGCAACTGAGAGAGAGAAACCCGCAGAACATGACGTCAAATCCGACTGCCCAGGGCGTGCTATTCATGTGGGCCAGAACGTGCAACTGCAAGCCTAAAAGTCACCTTCACACGCACGATGCACATGCAGACATGCCTGGGGCATCAGTCAGGATGCCATGCTTGCAGCCTTTTGTAGCGTTGCTGAAGTGCAGAGAACAGGTGCATCACTCGCTCAACGTGCTTTACAAATTGCTTCAGTGCTGTTTAAAAGGCTGTTTCAGTGCACAACTCAGCGTGGAATTTTCACGGCCCCAGCACGCGCGCGTCCGTTGCAGAAAAGCAAGCAAAGTACGCGTCATACGCACAAAGCCTAAATATGGCACTTACGAGCTTTACAGGGGGTATTCACTGGGCACCATATTTGAGGGCGATGTTTAGATCGCATGCTCAGAACGAGCTCACACTGATAGGCTGCTAAGACCGGTAATCTTGATTGGGCGTAATGCACATTGAGAAAGAAGGGTGGAAGCTCGTCGTCAGCACGCTCTCAACAGCCGGGCACACAGCTATGGCCGCCAGTGAATACTCCTTTTTGGAACAGTAATGCTCCTGGCCAGTGCCATCTTCATTGGGGTGTATGACACGAGCTTTGCTCATTTTCTAAAGAGACCAACATGCGCGTGCTGTGTTATGAATTGGTGCATATTGTTATGAACAAATATTTTCTACATTTTTATTTCTAAAAACAAAACAAAAACATTAAAGTTTTTTTGTTTTTTTTTAGATATACATAGAATGATTTCTGTTTTCCTTTAGGCATCCTTTGGGTCTACGTTACTTATCGAGGAGGCGCGGAGCATGTGTTTGTGTCAAGAGTCACAAGAACATGAATACTGAAATGTCACATCCTGCTGGCGTACCACCGCTTCTGGCAATGATCTATGTCCGGCGACTACCTTCATGGGTAACAAGGTGCAAAGCCTTGGGATCTTTTGTGATAAACAGGAAAACCTCCCGAAAACAGCTCCTTCTTTATTGAGTTTTTGTGTCGTTTCTGTAAACCTTCACCAGTCTCTTTCCTAAAGTAAAACTGAAGAAGAAGGAGCGTCATTTGTAAAACGATTCACTATAAGAATGTCAGTCACAGTGCTATCTCACGGGCCATTATGGTGGTTTTATGTCGAAGACCTTTGAAGTACCGAGGAACCATGTGCACGTCGAGTGGCACTTGCAGAGTAGGAATCGCGAGCTGATTCACCGCAACCCAAAAAACCTTTGGTATAAATGCAATTTGAAAGTCACGTGGACGAAGGGGAAGCCATTCACACAGTACCGTTGGACTAAGTTGGACTATGTTTGATTACGTCATGAAAGCTTACCTAGAGGTGATTGGGACTGCACGCGACATACGAAGCACGGATCGTATTGTGTGAACGGACCTTTAGAGTGGAGACAAAACGTGAACATTTACAACAAGGCATATTTCTGTGTATTATGTTTGAAAGCTGTCTTACCGACAGTTTTCGAACTGTTTGAAGAAATGTCCTCGCTTACTTACATCGTGACAGCTTATTTTTCTTCTGTGTGTAAGGCAGGTTCTTATCGGTGAAATTGGTTTATTGCTTTATTTGCAGGCAGTACTGTGGGCGGTGGGAGCGGGAACAATGACGGCGGGGGAAGAGGAGGAAAATCATATCCGACTAGCCTGGACAACCATCCCCTCATGCTGACCAAAGACGGTGAGTTGAGAGAGCATATTTGTTTACAGTGGCGTGAATGCTATCGGGGCAGTTAGACAAACGCGTCGCGTATTAAGAAATATCGCCACAATTTGCACCATCCATTTCGACGCCTCGAGCCATAGAAGAGCAGCGTCACACAATGGAAATGGCCCTTCACTACCTTGCGATTAAAAAAAAAACCTCACGCCGCAACGCCGCATTCCGACTGGTGTCTGAACCGCATTCAGGAGGCGGTTGGGAACGCGGTTGTTTAAATGTATAGTTCAATTTTGCACCCATATGATGACGAATACGAGCGGAACTCTACGGTGCCTACATTTCGGTCTGTCTCAGGGTGAAGACATTCTTTGCTGCACAGAGCGTACAGGCGCGTGGCGTGCTGGCGTACTCAGTACGTGACTTGTGGGGTAAAATGGCGTCTAAGCATTAGCCAAGGTTATGCGCTCGAGTTGAATCACACCGGATTGCGCGCACTTTAAAGGACATAATAAAACGACTGGGCGGAAAAATGGCTGAGATGTCACCACTCAAGGAAAATCGCGTGTGTGTACGGATCCGCTTTGCAGTTGCGATTTAAAAGCCAGAGTGAAATCAGATTCAAACTGTCAGTCTTGATCGAGGTACGAACTAAAATAATTAATTCTCGTATTTTCGAGATCGCATTGATTGTAACTGGGCAAAATAGTCATAAACCAAGCTTTCATTAAAAATTGGTGAGGAAAAACATTTAGAACGCAGTCCTACGTGGACTCGTGTCCCAACTCATTCCCATCACGAAGAAAGTTTATGAAAAAAAACAGAAAAAAAAACAACACCGGGCCCAATTTAATAAAAAAAAATAACATAATATCAGCAAGCACTAGCGACTGCCATCACCACCAACACGCTTTATATCTAAAAAAAAAAAAACATTGCTTCAAAAGAAGACAAAAAAAAAAAAAAACAAGCAAACAGCGCCGTCATAAAGTATCAGGGATTCAAAAGCGCGCAATCCTGCCGATCCCCTCTACCCATACGCGAATAAAAAGGGGAAAAAAGAATCGAAACAATAAGCAGTCGTGCGCGTGGCCTGGTAGCTCATTCGTCATGCGAAGCGCTCTGCTCGTAATTAGCCGCACGCCAAGTTTCTCGTTCTTGTCTCGGCAGCAAGATGGCGCGCGCGTGGCGCCGATAGAAGGTCACGTGGCCCCCGGCGCGCTTCCGTTTCCGGCCGCGTGGCGCCGATCACGCGTGGCGCCATCGCGTGACTATGGCTGAAACTAACCTCGTGCCTTTTCCAGCACGCTACGAGCCGGTGCGGGTGCCCGCGAGGGTCACAGTTACTGACGTGGGGTTCCAACACGAGGGGGAGGGTGGGGGAGGGGGATGCCATAATCTTCTCCCTCGGCGGTTTTTAGGGCACCGCTCCCATTTTTGTCCCCCATTAGCTCGTTAGTTGGCAGAGGAGCGGGACACCATGCCAGCGCATCGCTGTCACGACGATGATTCAACTTGTTCGCTTGGTGGGGTAGCTTCGTACATCATACACCATGTTGCCCCTTCTTATTTACGGACTAGACCGTGTGCTTAAAAGAGGAACACGTGCCTGTTTCGCGATGCGAGAGGAACGACGAGCTGGGACGGACGAACAATTGAGATGCGCTCCCAATTACAATCGCCGCCGGAGCCACAAGGCGCCCTGTAAAGCGTGCTTTGCCGGCAACGCTCTTGAGTACTGCGGTGGAACCCGCACCACGGCGCGGACGGGACGAATGTTTTGTCTCGGTTTAGTTTTCTTGTTCGGTTGGTTGGTTCGTAGAAACTATAGATAAAATACTTACGTGTCGAAGTAGCGGAATTTTGAAGTTCTTAATAATAACGGCCTTAAAATTTAAATTTAATTACGAATCGTCCTCGCAAAGCCCAGTGACCCTTTTTTTTTCCTTTTCTTTTTTTGTCGAGAAAAGAAAAATGCGATGCACTGCTCATGAGATGTATGAAGTGTAAAACCGCGCACCTTTATAAAAAAAACAAAAACAAAAATCCTGAAATCTTGCGCGTCGTGTACCGTTATCGACGAAACCAAGTAGAGAACAACGTCTGAAGGATCAACGTATTATCCAAGACGTATAAACTGAAGAAAATTAGTTATATGTTTCACGTTAACAGTTCAACATCTTTTTAATAATATAAAGTTTTTTTTTGTGTTATTCAAAACTGATACAAAACCGTTCCTAAAAAAACTTTTAATTCGTTACATGATACGAGCTTAGACTGCCCGCTTTTCCCTTCTTTCCTACTATAAAAGTGGGCAGTTTAAGCAGTTTCCACTGTCCTTTGGATCATAAAACTATCCAGAAGGCAGAATACTTCGTAGCAGCATATTTCGCCTGTAACAAATGCTACGCCGGACATTTTCTCTATCACAGCGGATGCGAAACAACAATTTCTAGACAAGCCGCAAAATAAATTTCCGCGTGATTTCTACGACGAGTCGATTCAATGTGTTTTGAAAATTGAATACTTCACAAAACTGCAAAATATGAAAGGCTACGAAATAGTGTCACTGCCGCACACAGCTCCGAGCTTAGAGCCGACCGATTCCCAGGGAACCGTGTCCATTCTATCTCCCTAATTTTGCTCCGGTTCCGAGCGGTCCACCTGTACTCGAATGTTTCCCCACCTCCCGTCGCATGCCCGTCGCAACGCGGATCACGCAACCCGACTCACACGATCGACTCACGCGATTCAATCGCTTTCCCATCGTCCTAGCTGCCATCAAGAGGCACCCACGAAGCCCCAAAACCGCATCAGATTATCGGTCGGGGGTTTCGGCCTTTACCCCGCCCTTCGCTGCCCGTTCCAACCACCCGCTGGTTCGCGACACGCCCATCTGACGATTAACTGACGTGCACGCATGCGCGGAAACGTAATCATCAACGCATAAAAATAGTCTGCTCTTACGAGCGTCCCCCGCACCTTCCTCCGTGCGCGTGGACCATTCTCCCCGAGGTTGCCAGAGTTTGTTGCACATATTAGACGGCCTACTTGAAAATACTGAGGATGTGGACGTGGATGTTTCCTATTGTTTTAAAATGATAGCTTTATGTACTGGAACTCTCCACGGGCCTTCTTTGCTCGCGTAGGTCGTGCCCTCACAAGAAAGGCCATGGAAGAGAGTATCCTTCGCTCCGTGATCGACGCTCTCGTTCGTGGTTTGATGATCTCCCACGACTTTGCGTCATAGCTGACGCGACCAACGGCGTACAGCCAAGCAGAGTGTGTCTGTGTGTGTGTGATTTTTTCTTTTTTTTTTGGAAGTGTGGGGGGGGGGGGGGGGGGGGGGGAGTGGTACGCTAGAATTTTCTTCTCTATGGCGGCTGAGAACTAGGGTATTAGTGTGGAATCTGCGTGTGATCTAGTAGGCTCGGAAGCATTTCATGGTCAGATTGTGCGCGCGGCGGCATTTCAGAGGAACTGATGCAATGCTCGCACAAAAGAGGAACATGAATGAAGAAGTCCTTTGTGCTTTCATAATTTCTTCGCCACGTGTCACACTGCATATTACTGCGATAGTGAGTGATGCTCGTTAAAAAGGAAGAAAAAACATTATGGTGTTATCATACTTGCACTGCATTTGATAAACTGTCTAAGTCAGGCGATTTTTGTTTTATGCGCGCATATATTGACATATCGATAAAATAAGCGTTTCATACACTCGTTTTGCTCGTTTGACATTCAGCAGGTGTGTAAGCGTTAACATATATTTTAAGACAAAGAAGAGGGGGGGGGGGGGGAGGAAGACCGGAACAGTGTGGCCACTCCGTCTAATGGGGGCCTGCCAGTCCCGGTCTGAGCAGCAAAAGAAAGAGAGAGAGAGAGAGCGAGAAGGCAGAAAGAGAAGTAGGTTCAAACAAGACACACACTGATAAAAAAATATTAAGTGGAGTCTAGTCCAGCACAACATAGTTCCGCAGGCTATAAACACAAGTCGCAAGTTTATATTATTTAAGCAGTTGTTCCCGCAGCTTTCATCTTTCGGTGCGAGAGTGTACACTTTCAGTCACATATTGATATTGCTTTTAAGATATCCTCTGGTGACTAAAGTGTTCCTCATCGTTGTCAGCGGATGCTCAAAGTAAGATTCCGCTTATACTCCCATAGGAACGCTGACGTTGCGACGCTGTAGGAGCAATGTGCAAGCTCACTGCTGGCCTGTCTAATAAACTAAAAGTATTTAGTTTATTTTGTGTGTTACTCTAACTGCAACAAGATACGTTCGTGAACCCGTACTATATTGGTAACTTAAACAGATTTCAGCTTTAGTAACTGTAACTCTGCCTTCGTGAGTTTAGGGGTAACTTGTAAATCTCTAACTCGCTATGACAACGTGCTCAGCATCAGCGGGCAGCCCATTTATTGATCCTCGATTTCTCAGCCCGTTCGCGCCGCCTTTACCTGCACCACTTTTTTCGACTTCATACTTATATAACTATAAAGATAACCATGCATCGCAAGTACAAAAAAAAAAAAAAAGCGCTATGGATGTGGTGCGCGATTAAAAGCGTCGCACTGGTCGGCCTTCCGCGCTGGTCGAATTACTCACTGTGACGCCCCTATAGGAATTGATTCTCTTTTCATCGGCGGAAATTAGAAATTTATCCCGACTGGGGCAGACTGTCAAGTTAGACGGTGTTGGTTTAAGAACGCGACTAGAGCAAGCTTCTAACGCACTTTTAAACAAACCATCGAACTTGTCGGTTGCAACCGATAATCCTCGTCGTGGCGTGACGAGTTTAGAACAGATTAGAGGACGCCACCGAAACATCTCGTCGCCCACAGCCCACGGCTCTATATAGGGCTACTTCGAACTCAATCCAAGCGATATATATAAAACAACGACCGTCAGGGCAGTTTACGCGTTATTCGATAAACTTTATGATCCCCGCCTTTCGCCCGCCAACAATTACACGCGCGGGGAAGACTATACTGGCCGAGAGTAGCAGCATGTCATCCGA